TTTAGCTCATCCATCCATCCACCCCGCAGGGATCACTAGGCTCCCTTACATCAGACTCCTAGCTCCCTGGAGCCCCTGTCAGACTCCTCTACCCCTGTTGGAGATACCTGGTAGTTGCGACCTGGTACCGGAGCGCTCCAAGTCCATCCCCACCATCAGGGGCCCTGGTGAACAAGTTCTCCGGTGCTTAGACTCCGCACGCCGGGGAGGCTCTACCGGGGGACTGATAGAGGTGCTGTCAGGCGGTCCCTTACAGATACTGTCAGTCCAGACTCAACCAAATGCAGCAAAGTTGATAGGACGGCGCTTCACAGTACAGATGGACAATGATCCAAAATGGGTGGACTGACCATTCGAACACTCAGGCACTGCCCGACGACCCAGGGTCAGTAGGGGGCCCCATGAGATGCCCCTGGTACCTTTCATTGGATTTTTCATAGGCTTTTTTGGGTGTGGGCAAGGACACGGGGCCCCATGATCCCCTATTGCCCGGGGGCCCCATGAGTTGTCAGTCCGCCGCTGATCAAAAACACACTGCAAAAGCAACCCAGGAGATTTTGAAGGAAAAGAAGTGGAATATTCTCCAATGGCCGAGTCACCTGATCTCAACCCAATTGAGCATGCATTCACTTGCTGAAGACAGAAGGCAGAAAGACCCATAAACCAAGAACAACTGAAGACAGCTGCAGTTAGAGCCTAGCAAAGCATCAGTAAGGAGGAAACTCAGTCTTTGGTAATGTCCATGGGTTCCAGACTTCAGGCAAAGCATCAGTAAGGAGGAAACCCAGTCTTTGGTAATGTCCATGGGTTCCAGGCTTCAGGCAAAGCATCAGTAAGGAGGAAACCCAGTCTTTGGTAATGTCCATGGGTTCCAGGCTTCAGGCAAAGCATCAGAAAGGAGGAAAACCAGTCTTTGATAATGTCCATGGGTTCCAGGCTTCAGGCAAAGCATCAGAAAGGAGGAAACCCAGTCTTTGGTAATGTCCATGGGTTCCAGGCTTCAGGCAAAGCATCAGAAAGGAGGAAACCCAGTCTTTGGTAATGTCCATGGGTTCCAGGCTTCAGGCAAAGCATCAGAAAGGAGGAAACCCAGTCTTTGGTAATGTCCATGGGTTCCAGGCTTCAGGCAAAGCATCAGAAGGGAGTGAACCCAGTCTTTGGTAATGTCCATGGCTTCCAGGCTTCAGGCAAAGCATCAGAAGGGAGGGAACCCAGTCTTTGGTCATGTCCATGGGTTCCAGGCTTCAGGCAAAGCATCAGAAAGGAGGAAACCCAGTCTTTGGTCATGTCCATGGGTTCCAGGCTTCAGGCAAAGCATCAGTAAGGAGGACACCCAGTCTTTGGTCATGTCCATGGGTTCCAGACTTCAGGCAGTCATTGCCAGTAAAAGGATTCTCAACCAAAAAATTAAAAATGAACATTTTATTTACGATTATATTCAATTGTTCAGTTACTTTTGGTCCTGTGAAAAAGAGGGGATGGCTACTCTTCTGAGCTGTAATTCCTAAACCCTTCCTCTAATTTGGATGTACATACCCTCAAATTAAACCTGACTGTGTATTAAAATGGTTGCAGTTCCGAAAATGTGTAGTTGATATCTATGTTCAACCCCTTGAATTAAAGCTGAAAGTCTACACTTCAAATTCATTTGGATTGTTTTGTTTTAATTTATTCTGGTGGCATACAGAGCTAAAAAGTATGAAAATTGTGCCCGTGTCCAAATATACTGTATGTGTTTATTATGCTATTATTGATTATTTATAGTCTTGTAATATACACTATCTTGTTTATAGAATACTCGCAGTAATAGCCATCCTTCCAGATATTACATGATAGAAATGTCGGCGTTTTTCTCTTTTCCCCGCTCAGGCAGCAGAAAAAAATGATGGGTATGACGGATGGAAGAAAAAGTAAACAACCGACGCCGCTGACTGTTCACTCTGCGACATTTACATAACAATATTAGCCATACCGCGCCAATCTTCAACCTATTTTGACTAATTGCGCGCATTATTGTTACGGCTCTGATAAAGACGAGGATTTTGTGTGTATACAGAAGGCACAGTATGATGACACTATCATCAATGTCTCACTAAGATTGGAAAATGAGTGATGGAAATTATAGCAGAAAACGTCTGGCGGTGTGACGCTTCACGTGGCTTTTAACGCAGGTTGCTGCAAAAGCTAAAAAAAGAAAAGAAAAAAAAAGAAAAAAACAGAATATGGTGATAGAAGATTGGACTGTGCCACATGCTGAGTTTCTTTTTCTAGGTAAATGCAGTTTTTTCGTACACTTACAGTTCTGCACACCATTAGAGAGTTTAAATAAAGCTCAGTGGATGGAAGGAGTATGGATGCCGTTGTGTCCTACTTTCTCGTGTTATTGAAAAAAAATAAGGAAACAATACCCCCTACCAAGCGCAAAGCATTTACCATTTATTTATGTCTTATGCATTAGCAGGCACTCCCCCTCCCCCTTTTCCTCCATACAAATATTCATAAACCTCAGAAAGCACTAACTACATCACCATGTCCTGCAATAACATAGGGGCTTGCAGGAGGAACCACGGCATGCAGCACAGGATGAGGATGAGGACGTACTATTTATTTTTTACTGTATATAGTGGAATCTGTTTGATTGCTCCTGTGGACAGGTGTCTTTTATATAGGTAACAAAATGAGATTAGCAGCACTCCCTTTAAGAGACTGCTTCTAATCTCAGCTTGTATGAAAGACACCTGGTAGCCAGAAATCCTGCTGAATGATAGGGGATCAAATACTTATTTCCCTCATGAACATGCAGATCAGTCATCATTTGTTAGACATGCATTTCTGCTGAATTTGTTGTTGCTATTCTGTCTCTCAGTGTTACAATACACCGAACATTCAATTTTTAGACCGATCATTTCTTTGTGAGTGGGCAAACATTCAAAATCAGCCGGGGAGCAAATACACATTTCCTTCACTGTACCTAATAGGTGATCCAGCAGTTCCGGGCGGGGGGGGGCAGGGGCACACACTCCCACCACCCTGGCTGTGCTGTGATTAGTAACAGCACAAGCAGATCAGCGGGTCCCAGTCAATGATTGGTGGCTGGGACCCGCTGATCAGCAAAAAGGGTGACAGGACAGAGCTCTGTGATTGTAAAAACCACAGAGCTGTGTCCCGACAGCGGAGAGGTGGCAGCTTTTGTTTTACTGCAAAGCAGCAAATAAAAACTGGCACATTCCTTAGTAAAAGCATGGATCCATCCTGAATTGTATCAATCGTTCAGGCTGGTGTCATGGTGTGGGGGGAGATTTTCTTGCACTAGCAAGGTGTACCTAATAAAGTGGCTGGTTAGTGTACATTTATTGTTTTGTTTTTTTACTAAAGTCATGTAGCAGAATACATTTTATTAATTTAATTTATGAAGAAATGTTATCTTTTACATTTTTTTTATTGTTTTATAGCAGAAAGTAAAAAAATAATGTCTTTTTTTAATTTTCAGTCATTTTTTATTCATATAACAAAAAATAAAAAACCCGGTGGTGATCAAATATCAACAAAAGAAAGCTCTATTTGTGTGAAAAAAGGCTATACATTTCAATAGGGTACAATTGACAGTTAAAGTAGTGCAGTGCCAAATGGCAAAAAAAGGCCCGGTCAGGAAGGGGATAAAATCTTCCAGAGGACAAATGGTTAACCCAAATGATCTTGAAGTTTGTAAACGATCAAAGGGTTAACTGTGTGCTGTGTGTGTTTTACTAGAGAGGCATGCTGTGCAGAGAGATACAAAGCAGCATGTCCAGGCTGACAGGTCTCTCCCCTGTCAGCTCTACCGACGATCACCGAGTGCCGGGTGTGACCCACATGGAAGAAAAATATATTTGAAATACTACAATTTTGCCCATATTCAATATATTTCGATATATATATATACACACGATACTGTATGTTAAAATGTGTTTTTTAAATATTACAAAATATATAAATAATATTGAATATATTATTTTAAAATATATTCTTCAGATTTTTTTAAGATATAAAAAAGTAATTTTAACATATATTTTTACATATATTCGTAAATACATTCCAAAAATTTAGATTAAGTGTATTTTTAAAAATATGTTTCATATATTTTGTAATAAAAACGTATTAGTACAGGAGATAACCAGAGACTGCGGACACAGTACAGGAGATGACCAGAGACTGCAGACACAGTACAGGAGATGACCAGAGACAGCAGACATAGTACAGGAGAGGACCAGAGACTGCAGACAGGATAGTACAGGAGATGACCAGAGACTGCGGACACAGTACAGGAGATGACCAGAGACTGCGGACACAGTACAGGGGATGACCAGAGACTGCAGACATAGTACAGGAGATGACCAGAGACTGCGGACACAGTACAGGAGATGACCAGAGACTGCGGACACAGTACAGGAGATGACCAGAGACTGCGGACACAGTACAGGAGATGACCAGAGACTGCAGACATAGTACAGGAGATGACCAGAGACTGCGGACACAGTACAGGAGATGACCAGAGACTGCGGACACAGTACAGGAGATGACCAGAGACTGCGGACACAGTACAGGAGATGACCAGAGACTGCGGACACAGTACAGGAGATGAGATGACAGAGACTGCGGACACAGTACAGGAGATGACCAGAGACTGCGGACACAGTACAGGAGATGACCAGAGACTGCGGACACAGTACAGGAGATGACCAGGGACTGTGGACACACAGTACAGGAGATGACCAGAGACTGCGGACACAGTACAGGAGATGACCCCAGAGACTGCGGACACAGTACAGGAGATGACCAGAGACTGCAGACATAGTACAGGAGATGACCAGAGACTGCGGACACAGTACAGGAGATGACCAGAGACTGCGGACACAGTACAGGAGATGACCAGTACAGACTGCGGACACAGTACAGTACAGGAGATGACCAGAGACTGCGGACACAGTACAGGAGATGAGCAGAGACTGCGGACACAGTACAGGAGATGACCAGAGACTGCGGACACAGTACAGGAGATGACCAGAGACTGCGGACACAGTACAGGAGATGACCAGGGACTGTGGACACAGTACAGGAGATGACCAGAGACTGCGGACACAGTACAGGAGATGACCCCAGAGACTGCGGACACAGTACAGGGGATGACCAGAGACTGTGGACACAGTACAGGGGATGACCAGAGACTGCGGACACAGTACAGGAGATGACCAGAGACTGCGGACACAGTACAGGGGATGACCAGAGACTGTGGACACAGTACAGGAGATGACCAGAGACTGCGGACACAGTACAGGGGATGACCAGAGACTGCGGACATAGTACAGGAGATGACCAGAGACTGCGGACACAGTACAGGAGATGACCAGAGACTGCGGACACAGTACAGGAGATGACCAGAGACTGCGGACACAGTACAGGAGATGACCGGAGACTGCGGACATAGTACAGGAGATGACCAGAGACTGCGGACACAGTACAGGGGATGACCAGAGACTGCGGACACAGTACAGGGGATGACCAGAGACTGCGGACATACTACATCATATAAAGTCCCAACAGGGCAGGGCCCCTCCACCCAGAATATCAAATGATCTGACACCATACATCAAGGAAAAGGACTACAACTCCCAGCATCTGTCATTATTAACTTACAGAAGGCAGGCTATAGAAGGCAGGGGGCGCACTGAGCTCCGAGGACAGGCCACACCAGCAGATAGGACTGCGGCGGTGACAGGTGGAGGATTGGTCAGTATTCGCTCCATAAGACGCACAGACATTTTCCCCCATGTTTTTTTGGTGAAAAAAGTGCTTCTTATGGAGCGAAAAATACGGTATATATACATACATACATATACACACACACACATATATATATATTTATTGAAATATATTGAATACGGCCAAAATTGTAGTATTTCAAATATATTTTTCTTCCATTTGGGGAACCACCAGCCGGGACTCAGTGATTGACATCCCCAACAGCCAATAGTGGCAGCAAGCCCCCCCCTACCCAGAAATGCAAATCTCGTAAATATACATGATTTTGCGCAGCCGTGCCGCCCTGTAGCAATACATCCGCTGTAGGGCGGTGGGCAAGTGGTTAAATTACAAAATTCTTTTTGCAGATATACAATAGGTGTTCTATATCATTTTTTTTTTTTTAGCCGGAATATGGCTTTTTCTATAAGAGAAAAGACTGAATTCTGCCTTTAAGAAATCAAATAATTTTAATAGCCTTTTTACAATTCTTCGTTGAAGTGGCGGAATTCCTGCGGTCGGAAGCTGAGGTTATACATTAGCATTCCAGCCAAGCATAAGTTATTCAGCTCTAATAAAAGGCTGTAGAGGAAGCGCACAGGATCGCAGTGAGCAAATGTCACATATTATCTCTTCAGTCACATGTCTTCCTAGAGTTGCGCCCTTAATGTCAGCAAGACCTATCTTAAATGTGTTTACTGGAGACATCGCGGCAGCGGGAAGTCAAGAGTGTGCGCGGTCTGTGTTAAGTAGCACGCTTGTAAACGGCAAATAAAATCTACATTACATCGTAGCGTGAAAAATAAATACTACAAGGCAGCTGATTATATTAGCATCTAGAATGAGTGTTATGGTATTATTAACATTTAGATGATTTAGTTATTTTTCAAATGAACGTGACAATTATACAGACGCCAGGTTAGTCCGAATTTATATGGTCCCGTTAATGCAACATACAGGCTGGACTCCTGGCTGGCTCGCCAATCTATCAGAAAATATTATTTATTGATATTTCGTAAAAGCAAGAACATTGCGTATGTTATTAACCAATTCAATACCGGGCAATATTACCCCTTCCTGTCCAGGCCAGTTTTCAGGTTTCAGCGCTCTCACACTTTGAATGACAATTGCGCGGTCATGCAACATTGTATCCAAACTAAAATTTTATCATTTTCTTCACACAACTAGAGCTTTCTTTTGGTGGTATTTATTCACTGCTGGGGTTTTTATTTTTTGCTAAATTAACAAAAAATGTTGAAAAAAACACAACGTTTTTCTTTGTTTCTGTTATAAAAGTTTGCAAATAAATAATTGTTCTTCTAAATTTAGGCCGAGATGTATTCTGCTACATGTCTTTGGTGAAAATAACCCAAATTAGGATGTATTTTTTAGTTTGTAGGAAAGTTATAGAGTTCACAAACTATGGTATAGATCTGAATATTGATCAATCCTGAAGTACTGACAGCCAATCTAATTTCTTGAGGTCCAAGAATGTCAGAACAGTACAGATATCCCCCCAATGTCAGAACAGTACAGATATCCCCCAAATGTCAGGACAGATATCCCCCAAATGTCAGAACAGTACAGACATCCCCCAAATGTCAGAACAGTACAGATATCCCCCCAAATGTCAGAACAGTACAGATATCCCCCAAATGTCAGGACAGTACAGATATCCCCCAAATGTCAGAACAGTACAGATATCCCCCCAAATGTCAGGACAGATATCCCCCAAATGTCAGAACAGTACAGACATCCCCCAAATGGCAGAACAGTACAGATATCCCCCCAAATGTCAGAACAGTACAGATATCCCCCAAATGTCAGGACAGTACAGATATCCCCCAAATGTCAGAACAGTACAGATATCCCCCAATGTCAGAACAGTACAGATATCCCCAAATGTCAGAACTGTACAGATATCCCCCAAATGTCAGAACAGTATAGATATCCCCCAAATGTCAGGACCGGACAGATATCCCCCAAATGGCAGAACGGTACAGATATCCCCCCAAATGTCAGGACAGTACAGATATCCCCCAAATGTCAGGACAGTACAGATATCCCCCAAATGTCAGAACAGTACAGATATCCCCAAATGTCAGGACAGTACAGATATGAAATGTCAGAACAGTACAGATATCCTCCAAATGTCAGAACAGTACAGATATCCCCCAAGTGTCAGGACAGGACAGATATATAACCCAAATGTCAGGATGGTACAGATATCCCCCAAATGTCAGGACAGTACAGATATCCCCAAGTGTCAGGACAGGACAGATATCCCCCAAATGTCAGGATGGTACAGATATCCCCCAAATGTCAGGACAGTACAGATATCCCCCAAATGTCAGGACAGTACAGATATCCTCCAAATGTCAGGACAGTACAGATATCCCCCCAAATGTCAGGACAGGACAGATATCCCCCAAATGTCAGGACAGTACAGATATCCTCCAAATGTCAGGACAGTACAGATATCCCCCCAAATGTCAGGACAGTACAGATCAGAAAATACTATTTATTGATATTTCGTAAAAGCAAGAACATTGCGTATGTTATTAACCAATTCAATACCGGGCAATATTTACACCTTCCTGTCCAGGCCAGTTTTCAGGTTTCAGCGCTCTCACACTTTGAATGACAATTGCGCGGTCATGCAACATTGTATCCAAACTAACATTTTATAATTTTCTTCACACAACTAGAGCTTTCTTTTGGTGGTATTTAATCACCGCTGGGGTTTTTATTTTTTGCTAAATTAACAAAAAAAAAAGACAAAAAAAGTTTGAAAAAAAAAACATTTTTCTTTGTTTCTGTTATAAAAGTTTGCAAATAAATAATTGTTCTCCATAAATTTAGGCCGAGATGTATTCTGCTACATGTCTTTGGTGAAAATAACACCCAAATTAGGATGTATTTTTTAGTTTGTAGGAAAGTTATAGAGTTCACAAACTATGGTATAGATCTGAATATTGATCAATCCTGAAGTACTGACAGCCAATCTAATTTCTTGATGTCCAAGAATGTCAGAACAGTACAGATATCCCCCAAATGTCAGAACAGTACAGATATCCCCCCAAATGTCAGAACAGTACAGATTATCCCCCAAATGTCAGGACAGATATCCCCAAATGTCAGAACAGTACAGACATCCCCCAAATGTCAGAACAGTACAGATATCCCCCAAATGTCAGAACAGTACAGATATCCCCCAAATGTCAGGACAGTACAGATATCCCCAAATGTCAGGACAGTACAGATATCCCCCAAATGTCAGGACAGATATCCCCAAATGTCAGAACAGTACAGACATCCCCCAAATGGCAGAACAGTACAGATATCCCCCCAAATGTCAGAAACAGTACAGATATCCCCAAATGTCAGGACAGTACAGATATCCCCCAAATGTCAGAACAGTACAGATATCCCCCAAATGTCAGAACAGTACAGATATCCCCCAAATTCAGAACAGTATAGATATCCCCCAAATGTCAGGACCGGACAGATATCCCCCAAATGGCATACAGATATCCCCCAAATGTCAGGACAGTACAGAGATATCCCCCAAATGTCAGGACAGTACAGATATCCCCAAATGTCAGAACAGTACAGATATCCCCAATGTCAGAACAGTACAGATATCCCCAAATGTCAGAACAGTACAGATATCCTCCAAATGTCAGAACAGTACAGATATCCCCCAAGTGTCAGGACAGGACAGATATCCCCCAAATGTCAGGATGGTACAGATATCCCCCAAATGTCAGGACAGTACAGATATCCCCCAAGTGTCAGGACAGGACAGATATCCCCCAAATGTCAGGATGGTACAGATATCCCCAAATGTCAGGACAGTACAGATATCCCCCAAATGTCAGGACAGTACAGATATCCTCAAATGTCAGGACAGTACAGATATCCCCCCAAATGTCAGGACAGGACAGATATCCCCCAAATGTCAGGGACAGTACAGATATCCTCCAAATGTCAGGACAGTACAGATATCCCCCAAAATGTCAGGACCAGTACAGATATCCCCCAAGTGTCAGGACAGGACAGATATCCCCCAAATGTCAGGATGGTACAGATATCCCCCAAATGTCAGGATGGTACAGATATCCCCCAAATGTCAGAACAGTACAGATATCCCCCAAATGTCAGAACAGTACAGATATCCCCCAAATGTCAGGACAGTACAGATATCCCCCAAATGACCCCTTTTTGCAGAGTAGACAGTCCGACGTACTTCATAAGAGGCATGGGCGAGTTTTTTGAAGTTGTATTTTTTTTGTCATAATTTTTCGGAAAATGAAAAAATGAAAAAAATTAGTTTCACTATTTTTTTTTTACATAATGTCACCAGTGCAGTACAGCGTCTTCATATAACTGGCATGGCAGTGATCAGGGATACTGACTGGTGACAGTATGAAAAAAAAAAATATATTTTTTTTTTTATTTTTTTATAATTTTTTATTTTTTATTAAATTTGTTTTCTTTTTTTAAGATTTTTTTTCATATTTCACTATGACCAAAGTAGTACAATGTTACCATAGTAACATTGTACTATGGGGAAGTGATCAGTATTTTTTTTTACACAATTTGCTTATAGGAAAGAATTACTTTGCTATAAGCAAGCATTTACCTGAATGACATCGATTCATTCAGGGTTTTTTTTTTTTTTGGGCTTAGCTGTGATTTTGGCCACGGCTAATCACATGACATGTGCATGTGATTAGCTGTGACCATTCACAGCTAGACACTAGTATACAATGGATGGCATGAATGAAGCCATCCGTTGTATACAACTGTCATGTGACCTGCTGTGATTGGTCACAGCAGGTCACATGGTACCGCAACGGGGCCGATACTCAGATCTGTCATCGACCGTGTCCGAGGTACATGGCCGGTGACAGATCGTGCCGCTGCGCTGCTCTGCAGGAGCGCAATCTGCGCATGTGCTGGAGGACGCCATATGGCGTCCA